ATATGTAATTAAATTAATCACATTCTATTGCAATAATCATAAGATTTTGACGACGTTTTGACACAACTTTGACAATTAATGAAAGACCACTGAATTCATTGATATATTCTTTCTCGTCAAATGGCGCACAGAGTAGAATACTTAATTAAAAAAAAGGCAAAGTGCTGCCATCTACGGCAATATGAACATGTGTCGTGTACAACATTGATATCAAACTTTTCGTGCAGAATTGGCATTCAATGAATATTTATCACACGCGTGACGAAACACGCGAGTGATGAATTAACGGGCAGATTATTCGAGCAACCGTAAGTTCTTTATTTGTCAGGTATACTTTCTTCAACTGCGCAAAATTATAGCTGGGTTGGGCACGCTCGTAGAATGCCTGAAATTCGATTCGGCGATGACGCCGCCGGTGAGCAAGGAACAATACCGACTCGAGCAAGAAGCGTTCGTTTCCAATCACGGAGGCACGACACCGGAAGAGGTGATTTTCACGCTTCTGCCATCCGTATGCGGCGTCTTATTAGCAACAACGACTCTGGGAATCCTTAAGAAGTACACCCACGAAAATGTGAGAGTCGTCATAGAGTTCATGCTAACCGTCATCCCGATTATCTTGTGCTGTACGATATTATCGGGACACATCGGTAGCGTATGCGTGATAATGATATCGATGTCTCTGCTAAACATAATGCTGCTGCTAAACAAGCGGATTAATCTCCCGAATTCAACCCGTGTGCGGCCGGTTACCGGCAAAAGGCCCTTCGTAACTCATTTTCGCGCGTTGACTAACATTATTACTGCGATTTGCATATTAGCCGTCGATTTTCGTATCTTTCCACGCAAGTTCGCCAAAACAGAAGCGTTTGGATACAGTCTAATGGATACGGGTGTCGGGCTGTTCATATTGGCAAATGCGTTGGTCGCGCCAGAGGCTCGAGACTTTTCTACCTTCCGTCGAGGAGGATTTCAGGAAACTTTGACGAAAAATATGAAAAATTGCTTCCGAAGTTGCGTGCCCCTCTTGGTGTTGGGCTTCGGACGTATCGCAGTAGTCGAGTACGTAGGATATCAGAAGCACGTTACCGAGTACGGCGTTCATTGGAACTTTTTTATAACTTTAGCTATCGTCAAGTTGTTCAGTAGCATGATTATCAGCAGTATTAACTCCAAGTATTCGTTACTCTCAGGTATATGGATATTGTGGATGCACGAATACACTATGAGCTTTAAAGATTTAAAGACGTGGGTTTTGGCGTGGGACGGGCCGAGAGACGACTTTATATCTGCCAATCGAGAGGGCCTAATTTCCGTACCCGGTTACGTAGGACTGTATTTTGTTGGCGTAGCTATTGGAAGATTGATACATTCGACATATCAAAGTTCGCACACGAGATCGAATATGAATTTTTCTCTGAAACTGTATGGTTATGAATTTGGAATGGGCTACACTCATTGTAATGAGTCTATGTTGCTGTGTATTAAATTGTCTTTGATCTCCGCACAAACTTGCATCACGACATTATTCTGCGATTTTAAGATTTCAAGAAGATTAGCCAATGCCGGGTACTGCATGTGGATAGTAATTCTAGCAACTATACTACTTAGTTTGTTGCTGCTCATAGAGCTTGTGCTAGATGTAATTGATTGCGCGATAAACGAGTCTAGCATTGAAAGCAAAACAGAGAAATTGCGTAAAAATTTGCGTTTGAATTTAAAGAAACATGGGGAGAGTGAGAGAGAGGAAAATGATGAATGTGTGATCAGGAGATCTTTAGAGATTTTTGATGGTGTAAATTACAACGGCCTGTTCTTTTTTCTTGTTAGTAACGTTATGACCGGTCTTGTCAATATGTCAATGCATACGTTATATACCAAACAATTGGTAGCTCTATTAATATTAATTATATATATGGCTGTGAGTATACTTTCAACATTGATACTTTATAGGCTCAAGATACCGATCAAACTGTGAAGTATATGCAAAAATGGTAATGAGTCGATTTTAATGAATTTACAATGTTTGATCGAGATTTTGACGATCTTGTTGATAACAATATTCTTCCATAAGTCTTTGTTGAAGACATTATATGTGATTATATTAAAACGTGTACAGTGAATTTTGTTAATATATTTTTTGTTTTTCCTTATAGAGAAAGATTACGTTATAGTTATTATGTGGCCAAATATAAATACGTAATTAAATATTATATACAGATATTGTATATTTAAACTTAACTACGAATTAATAATTAAGAGAAAGTACTGCTAAATGCAACACAGACATATCGCGATCTATCGCGCATTAATTTTATTTATCAAAATAAAGTATGTACATTAGTATAAAACTAGTACTAAGTATATAAGAAATTCGATCAACAAATGCATTTTAGATCACGTTCTGTTACCATACCTTATCGTCTTAATTTAGTGCCTAAGAGTCCTGTTCATAATTCATCTTTGGATAATATATCAGATTTTTGTAATCGTATCGGTTCTTTAGCATTGGAAGGTTGTACTAAATCTTCATTATCCGTCGTCTTAGTGTCATTTTGTATTTTGCCATGAGAATTGTTAAACTTCCTAAATGCATTGTGGTGCTTCACGTGATTTCTTGCAAGCGAAACAATTCTGAGAAATTCTTTAACGTCGAAGCTGTAGTTTGTAAACTTGGCGTGAGCTCCGCCATCAGGATGTGTTCCCTGTAAATTACAAACTGTTTAAGTAAGCATGTTTACATTTAATGACAAAACTTTAATCATAGTTTAAGTCAGTGAGGAAATAAAATGGAATAGAAAAGACTTACAAAAATGTCACAAATATCTATTATAGAATCGCTCTTATTTATTACCAAATTTTTCTTTGATTATAATAAAACTAAGTTATCAAACCTTATATTATTTTAGCGAAAAATCTGTACGGACATACCGGGTCTTGTTGCACTAATTTTGACGTATCTTTCCATGTGAAATATTTTACACCCCTCAACCGTGCAAGATCTTTGTAGCAATTCGGATCTTCGCAATTGTATCTGCGGAAAATAATTAAAATGTATGATTCCACTATTCGCAATCATATACTTTTTAATGTTTCATAACATATCTTACATTTCGAACACTGCTGCCCAATCAGGCAAAAACATTAAATGCGTTAAGCCAGCGCCATGAATACCGATAAAAATATCAGAATTCCTAGTAATTTCTAACTGCTTTTTGAATGATACATTTTTATTATACACCACCTGCAAAAAGAACGTGTTGTGACATATAACAGAATGTTAAAGATAATTATATTTTTTTATTTGAGTATTACCTTCCTAACTTTATACTCCGGGTTCTCCTTCAAAGCGTTTACCAGTTCATTTTCGTTTAAAATCTTTCTGTACTGCGTATCTCTACTCAGCAATGTCACACGAATTTTCCGATCTTTCCTTTGATGAACAGGTATTTGAAGTCGATGCAACACATGATCACCAAAAGCTTTGAACAATCCGGATTTTTCACAGCCATAAATCTAAAACAATATATTCTAATAATTGATATTCTTCTTTGGAGTATGGAGCATCTCGGTGAAATGATATACAATGCTAGTACTAGTGGTGTATTGTAGAATAAGCCGAAGATCATTCGCGGCAGTAAAGGAAACACCAAGTTCCTGAAGCACACTGTTTCGCCTCGAAATGTTTTTAAATCCCACAATGGATTTCTCGTGAATGCTTCGAAGGTATCTTGGAACGCCGATCGATAGCTAAAAGCAAAATGTAATTCAGTATCTAATGGGTCATAATCTTCATTTTACATGTTTGTGTCAATTTTGTTTTATGATTCGTTTTATGCTTGTTACCTATAACTTTCCCAGATGAGTATATGATTATCTACATCGAAGGCAGATGGGTGCGAGAGATTCACGTGCAATGATGCGTACAAGTTGAAAAAGTCGCAAAAGTGATGATACATATTTACTACTAAAACAAAAAGCGACTTTAACGAAGTGGCTAATGTGAACCGTAATTTATCTGACATTCTTTTTGCAAATGCCTTCAAACTTACTGGCATCTATCTTCATGATAAAAGTCGGTTTCTCAATGACGATATCACAGTCGCCGTGGACAATCGGCCGGTGATGTAATTTTCGAAAGTTTCGTAATTCTGGTCCCCAAGACTGTAATGGACTAATGTGATCTGCGTTTTCTTGTAATCTTTTTTCGTTCAGCCTGATCGCAGAAGAGAGAGTTAGACACTTTCCAATTCCTCGTATAGATGTTCTGTTTTGCTCGCTGATATTCACTCACGTGCAGTAGCCACCAATTTCACCTTCTTTTAGTACATCCATTTTGTATCGTATGGGTTCCTTTCGATTCAGCAAATCTGTGAAATTTAGCATCACGTTTCTCGCTCTGCAGAACCGCATATGTTCTGAACACTCCAAGGATGAATCATCCTGAAAAAAGTAAAATCCGATCAAGATATCAAGTTTATTATCTTTTTGCGTTCCGCGTATGACGTCAGATTCATATCATAAGTAATATATTATAAATAATTATATAGTAAACTCACCACAAATAATGGTTCACATAAAAGCATCATCTCCTTCCTTTGATCGCGCACGTATCCGAAATCGCCTTGTGCGTAATATGTATCTAACTGAGCTCTCTTTGTGGCGACCCAGCCCTTATGGTCGCCTGGGCAATGCGGAATGGAAAAAGAATTTTCTGCTTTGCAATCTTCCTCGTAGCCCCAACAGGCTTTAGTATCGAGACTATCCTGAATGTATTATAAATTTGAAACTTTTAATGAATTATATAAATCATGTAAAAAATGTTCAAGAATCTTTTAATTCAGATGAATATGTGAATAATATTATGTAAATGCGAAATCCACAGAAATCAATTTTTAAATAAAATTGTATATAATATGTTTTAAATATTATACAAAATGAAAAAAATATGTCAAGAATTTAATATTAAATATAATCTTACCGTATATGGACACGTCGCATCATTGCGGCATTTTTCTGCTACCGTGGGAAAAGAGTTGAAATAATACTTGACATGCTCGTGCGGTAGATTGATATCTGTGTAATTGCCGCCAATGGCAGTGACCGTAAATACAAGCACCAGTGACACAGGATGAACCGCGAACAACGTCCTCATGATCATTGTGTAAAAAGAAACTTTACTAGAACCGACCGGATATTGTTAAGACGTTCGTTGCGTGTTCGACTTACAACGTTCTGCACGGTTTGAATGAAAAACGAACCACCTGTGAAGGTGGGTGTATGACCTCACAACCCGCGCATTAACACACATGCGTGGAACCTGTGCGGAGGTACGGTGAGAGGCGATACTTAACTTACTACGTGCGAGATGTGAGTCAGCTCACATCATAGAAATTACGCACTGGCTCGCCTTGAGCAGCCGCGAAGAAGCGAAGTTTTAATATTTCTTATTTCTTAAATAATACGCCGGCGTTTTTCGACCCCTCGGATCGATAATGCAGGTCCGTCTCTGAATACGGAGTACGTGGCAGCATTTTCTTTGAAATAATCACAGGGAGTCTTACTGACTTTAATAATTCTATGTTCCTGATGACAGTATTGAAATGTATTTTTTAAAAACATTGAAATCTCTCATGAATAGACGAAAAAATCCTTCCAGTTATCTTTCTCACGGTCAGCTGTTTAATCCGTTTGCAACATGGCCGTATACACTGTCACTGTCAAGGATGTTATTTGTGATCACAGTTTGAACGATTCTCTTTTCCGAGTGAAGTAATTAGGCCGAAATAAAGAATTGAAGCACCCTTGAGCAACTCTTATTTGATTCACATGACTTTAGCGTCTGCAAGTTTAAATTTTTGAACTGGAGTATTTTGTGGGTCTTGTTGGTTTTATGAGAAAGCATTCTTTTAACTGATTTGAGTCCCTCTGTGAGTTTCTTCCCATAATATGAATGAGTAACAGTATTACCCACAGAGTCTCGGCAAAGTAGAGAAGACGAATAATTTCTTCTATCTACTACCGATATATAACTATCAGCACATATAGTAGAAAAGACGAATATGTGATAGTAACGTTTCGGAATAGTCATTACAATATCTATAGCAGATAAATAGTACAACAATATAATAGAAATTAATACAGTACAAAAGAATGTAGAGAAGAATATCTATTGTGGATAAAAGTATCTGCTAGAGATAAGATTTAAGAGTAACGCAGAAAAACGTAAGAGTGCGGTTGCAGTTATTATTGCTAAGAAATTGAAATTGCATTAGGTGAAAGTGTTTGTTTACAATTTTTATTTACACATTGTAGAAAAATAGGTAGTTGACCGTCACAAATATTAATTAAATTAATATTAAACATTTACATTGTATATCTCTTGATATAAAATTAGAATTAATAATTGCGAAAATCTTAGAACGTAAACTTTATGTCGTATGTAAATTTATTTTCTGTATTCTCTAGGCGAGGGGTATTCTCTAGTAGACTATATTAAAGGTTTGCAAGTTTTGCATTACGTGTACGTATGAAAATTACAATATTATTAGAGTATAAGCGTGAAATGAATTAAGCGGGCTCCGATAAGGAATCGTTTGGTGCAGACTATTGTCTAACGTTAGTTAGTGTCGAATGATGGCTTCTGTTATTCATCATGCTCTTACGTAAATGAAATGCAAAACCCTGAGACAATAAGCCTGCGAGACGCACCTTATGCTAATCCTCGCGGGATACGTCAAAAACGATTTCGACGTATACGGAAGAGACAGTTCGATCCTTCTCTCGAGGCGTGGTCGAGGTAGATCTTATCTTCGCGGTTTATACGATTTCGCTCGTCGGAGAAAGAAAGAGGTACGAGTTGAATCTAAGGGTCCCCGCGCGTTTATCGGCTCTAATACACCGAGTCCCACACTTTGTTAGGCATGAATCGTTACGCAATCTGGAAGACTCGGATATCAGCTGCGACTCTCGTTGGTCGCGCAGGTGTCTTTCTCGGTTCACAAGAGATCGTTGCGATACAATTAAAGCTACATAGACCGTAGCCAGCGGCGAAAGGAGAGCGCGGATTCAAATCTACAGAACTTATTTTAACTTTGAGCGACACCCATTGTTCTCTTTTCTTCTCAATGTTGACGCCGCGGCGGATTAGAATTTGCGGACACCCCGTGCGTTACGCAACCAAATCTTAAGTGTTCAGTTGCGATAGCGCAGATATACACTTGACTATTGAGATATCGAGGCATGACGAATCCTATGCGTGAGATCTACGTCTACGACCGAGCGATCTCGATCTTGTCTATAACCGCGAGCGAATTGACTGATTATCTATGATCATTCGCAAAACGGAAAATCACCGTAACAACTGTCCATCTACATATCCGAATAAATCGGCATTGGCCGCGCTAGTCCCGCAGGCCAATCACGATGATCCACAAATCAATGCTAATCGATGCGAGAGGATCGCCGATATCGGGCACGAGAGACAATAGCGTCGATATCTTTGGCGCGTCAACCTGCCGTAGCGTGACCCGGAAACAGATCTCGCTATACAAATGTTTTACATTTATATATGCATGTATAACTTATTCACTTGTATATATACAAAGGTCTCTCGCTATGTGTGTACGTAAAAACGTCGCGTAGTTTACCGGTATATGTAGATTGTTGCCGATCGGCCGGTGGAGACACACCGGTCTGCCTGGGCACGGATTGCCGCAGATAGATCGAAAGAACGATCTACATCGATCACGATCGCATCACCCCGACCCTCAGGTACCGATACGGTCGCAACGGTACCTCGCTATTTATACCGGTATGCCCAACTTTATTTCTTCTTGTAAATCTTTTGTCGTCGTGGATTGTTAAGATGATTTTCTCCGATTGGAGTAGTCACGGCATGATCGCATTATCTTTCTGAGAGATGTCTTAGTTGCAACGTGATAATTTACATGACAATTCGTCGTCTTTTGACAAACATCTAAGATATTTCATTGATATTTTAACGAGGGGCTACCTAGACAAATAACGCAGTGTACACATGTAGACACAAGCGTAGTAGACATGATTATATATCGATCTTATGTATTACGTTCCACTCCGTTATTGCATAACTTTATTTATAAACATATTAACGGCAGATATTTATAGCTATTGAAAATTAAATGCTATATTTTCCGGATCGCAGACAGAGAAGGAATGAACAATGAATGCAATTATAAACATATCGCTCATTGTCGCGTCACAGTACCGGAAAACAGGCAATCCACAAGCGAAACCGGTTTACATCCCTGAAAATAAGCGGAGCTATTAAGCTTCACATGTATAGTTATGACCATTGGAACTACTGATTGCTGTCGTTTAAGTCACGGCGATCGTCGTAAAATTTCTTCGGCGTCGCGGCCGCGGTAAGAATCGCGCCGGCGACGTATATCGCGCGGCCAGATTGATTTTGTGATGACGCAACGGCGATTTTCGCAACGGGCCGCTGATAAACGGGGGACCCCGGCGTTTCCGCAGAAACGCAACGCGCGGGCAATAATACGAGCACCGTGACATCGGCGTAACGTCCAACCGTCGCCGCCACGTTGGCGCCGCGTGTCACACAGTCGAGAGCCCGGTGTCAACCTACGCGAAAATCAACGCTATAATGTTCCCCGTAGACCTCGCGGTTCCTCCCGTCGGAG